TTAGATAAACTAATGGTTCATAAAACATGTGTAATTTCCATATTGTTATCATATTTTTATCACAGTAGTACCTAAAAATTTGAGTCATACTGGACCCCAATGTATTAACGAATGGGTAGAATGAAACAAAACAGTGGAGAAAACCAAAACTTCCAACAGAACAGTCAACACAGAAACATTTATCACTGTCCAAAGAACAGCCTCTTCTGCACGCAGTATAAAACAAAACCATGAAAAAAACCTAACTATTCACTCAGAAGAAAAGATACATCCTAGAAAATAGACTTTATGCAAAGAAAATGGTCTCATGTTTCTCTTAAGACAGCTCTCAGATAATTACTAAAACATAATTAGCTTAACCAGTCAAACATTAGGCAACTATTGGCCAAAATTACTTTTTTATCATTACTGATAAATTTTCTAATTGTGACTGAACTGAAAGGTAATGTTTAGCATTACAACAGATATTCTGTCCATAGTTTCAGTGAACTATTTCTGTTACTCCTCCCTAAGCCTCTATCAAAGCCTCCTCAGTGCCTCTAAATACAATCATATATACACAGCATTTTAATTTGGTCACGGCTGCAAACAAAATGAGCCTGAAACTCAACATTCATAGAAGTCTCTAGAGCGCCTTAGGAAACTCCCGAAAGACAGAGGCAGAGGACTCTCCTGCCAGCCAGTGTAGCTCCCGCGGGCTCCCCTTCGCTGGGAGAGGCCTGCAGAGGGAAGGAGAACATGTGGCGCGCAGACAGCCCGGTCGGTTCCTCCTCGGTCTAGGGGAGGAGGGACGACTCATTCAAACTCCCCAGCAGCACCCGAGGCCGAGCAGGGCGCTCGCAGCGGGCGCAGACCCGCGGCTCGCCAGGCAGCGGGGAGGCACAGCTGGCCTGGCAGACCCGACCACCGGCGCTGCGCGCCAGGCCTCGTCCGCCGCTGCCGCCTGCCTGGGGCCCACTCACAGCTCCTCACACCCCTTCCCTCCCACGGGCCGCCTCCCCCGGGATGCGCCGCGGCCCTCCCGCCCCTCGGACCCGGGTGGCGGGGCCCGGCGAGGGGAGTGTGCGCGGAGCGAGCGCGGGCGGCCCCGGCTGCCCCTCGCCCGCCCCGAGCGGCGGCCGGCCCGGAGGGGCCGCGGCTCCCACCCGCGCCGAGATCGAGGCTCAGGCCCCGCGGCGCTACGACCACCACCACCACCACCAACTCCTCCTCCTCCTCCACCGCCCGCCCGGCCCCCGGCGCGGCCCGGGCCGCGGTCCCCGCTGGGGCGCGCCGGCCCTGCCTGGGGCCCCGGCAGCACTCACCCCTGGCGGCCCTTGTCGCCCCGCGCCGCTCAGCGCCGCGCCGCCGCCATGTTGAGCTGGTGCGGCACGGCTGCGTCAGTGGCGGGCAGGGCGGGAGCGGCGGCCGGGGCGGAACGCCGGGGGCGGGCGGGGAGCGGCGGCAGCAGCGCCCCGGCCCCGGGACGGAGCGGGGGTCGCGGTGGCGGCACAGCGCTGCCCGGAGGCGGCGGGGGCCGCTCAGAAGGAGCGGGAGCGGCGGACGGATAGGGCGCCCGCCTCCTCGGGCTCGTCAGCGGCGCTCCGCCCCTCCCACCGGCCCCGCCGCCCGCGGCCCGGCCGGGCTCGAGGCGAGAAGGGCCGGTGGGGCTGGAGCCGCTGCAGCTACGCGAGGCCTTTCCAGCCAAACGTGCCGGTGAGCGGTGCTGGCCGTCCCCGCCGGCGCCTCAGCGAGCAGCGCGGTAAATGGCTACGGTTGGTGAATGAACCGCCCGGCACGGCGCTGGAAACGCTCCGGGTTGCTCCAGCAGTGCACCTCGCTAGGGACTGTAAAGAATTAAAATGGGAATTTAGGCCAACTGTGGGGGAAAAAAAAAGTTACTGATAATATTACCTCCTATGTCTGTATTGCCAGTCAAAGTTAATATATCTTAAAAATAGAGACATGAAAGTTTACAACAATGCATAAAGTTGCTAGCACCTTCAAGATTAACTAAGACTTGCACAGATGTACCTCCTTTGCTAGGTTTTAATGCAAACCAGCAGGTAATTTGGTCTAATCATAGACATAACGGGAAGTAATGGAAGTTACTTGACTGGCTGTTGAGAAAACTCTTGAAACCGGAAAAAATAAATGTTCCCCTTATGAACATCTGAAAAAAAAAAATAAAATTGAGAAATTGACCCCTGAGAGTTCTGAAGTCCTAAAGAAGCTGGTGAGTGAACTTCTGTTCAGTGGATGAACACTGGCTTCAGCACAGCATGCTTGTAGAAGTCTTGCTTTCTTCCCCTACGTGTCTAACTTAAAATTTAATGTAATTTTATCTAGCCTTTTTTATTTGGTTTAGGCATTGTTTTATTTTATCCACTTTTGACAAGTCAAAAGTCAAGAGTTCAGCATCTTGTAAATGAAAAATCCATATGATTTGCAGAAATCCCCTTCACATATGAATGTGGAATTGTTTTCCTATGCAGCTGAGGGGTCAGATGCCTTGGAATTCTTATGTGATTTTGCAGAAGGCCTGAGATTCTTGCAAGAGATAAATGCCACCTTTTGAGATCACCTGACAGGGTTTGGGTCTGTAGACTGTAACTGAGATGATGCGGATTTGTTAGCAGAAGGATACAGGAGCTGTTCCAGTTACAAATTCTACAGTTACAAATCCAGTCAAAAATGTACATGCTGTGTTTCTAAAATGCCAGAGACCTTGTAATACATAAAACACAGGGTATTTTATTAGTTTGAGTTCCATTTCATAAGCATCCAATATATTAGGAGGTAAATATACAATCAGCAACAGACAAAAAGTAGAAAACCCAAACCTTTAATATAGACAGCTGCAAAACAGCTGGTCAGAATTGGTCATGGTAACAGCCCTGGCTGTGATTTTAGATAAAATTTTAGAGCAATCTGAGATTGTTGTCATTCATTCTAGATGTCTATGTTATTATCAATGGCAGTGAGAAAAGGTCCAGAAAGATGACCTGGAGCTATGTGTATACAACAACTTGTTGCAACATATTTATGTTCTAGAACTCTTACATTTTAAATTAATCTTTGTTGCAAAGCATAAAAAAAATTATATTGTAAGATAAAGTAACGTTAATTCCAGTACAACGAAGCCAAACTCTTCAACTTCACCCTTCCTGAACTTCAGTCCCTTTGTGCTTTTTCTAGGCAGGGAAGACTTTCTTCCCCCACTCAGAAAGTGTTATAAAACCGTTGTAACGCTGGTTTTATAAATATGACCTCAATAATCAATACGACCTTGGAACTTTTTAGCTGTTACGTTTATTTCCCTTGGGAAGTCTAACTGGCTGGACTTTCCCCTTTCTCCCTGCGCTTCCCGGCGTCGGCTCCGGGCAGCGGTCCGTGCTGGCGCATGCGCGCGGAGGGTGGCGGTGCGGAGGCACGTGGAGCGCTGCGGCGTGTGCGGGGTGAGCTGAGTGAGCGCGTCCGCCCGCGGCTCCAGAGCGGGAAGGGCCGGGGAAGGGTAAGCTGAGGGCCCCTCGGATTGTGCTCTCCGGGGCGGCCACGTCTCAAACGCTGCGCCGGTGACCCTGACTCCTTTGCTTTCTTGTTTAACCCCGGGGGGAGCCGGACCTTGCCGTGATCGCAGCCCTCGCTAGAGCCGGCGCTGGCAGCCGCTGCCGCCCGGTGCCGCAGGGGCGCAGGGCTTCGCGGGCCGGCCCTTAGCGACCTCCCGGAGGCGGGCGGTGCCAGAGGCGGGACCCGGGTTCAATGTCGCGGGTCGCGCCCCGCCTGCGGGGTGCAGTGGGGCCATGAGTGTCCCCGCCCCGGCCACCGCCGGCCTGAGGCCTGCGCGGCGGCTCAGCCCTTTCCCGCGCTCTTCCTGGGCGCTTTTGGGTCAGAATTCCCCGCGGGAAGGGAGAAGGCGGCGCACAGGTGGCAGCGGGCAGTGCCCGGCACAGGACGGCGGGGCCGGCGCTGGCCCCGGGGGTCTACGGGGTTGGACTGCCCGCGGCAGCGCTCACGCAACTGAGGGGAGTCGGGCAGGCGGGGGAAAAACACCCTGTGCTGCACAGGCATCTGTCTAAAAGCTTAGTTACTTAGATCTCTAATAGTTCTTATGCTTGGGGAGTTGCGAGTGTCCGCATTTTGCCATTTGTGGAAGACTTCCTGGCTTACTGTGTGTTGTAATACGGCCTTGAAAGTGCTTATTGTGTTCAGCTGGTAGAAGATTATTTTAAGGACTTTCTTGTCCTTCAAGTGTATTACATTGCACGGTAAGTGGAACACCTTAGAAATAATTCTTTAAGTAGATCCAAATTTCCTGCGTTTAATCTCTATATTTATAAGTTTGAAAACATCCAATGTTTTCTACTGATGTACTTTTAAAAGGATATTAGAATTAACTACAATTTAAAATTGCGTACAAGTCTGTGCTAAATCACTTGCATCTGCTCAATAACTTCCAGAAAGAGAAAGATTTGGAAACTTCTTGTGGACTGTTTTAGATAGAGATCCTGGTTGCCCGTCAGTAGGGTAGAGGATGTAAGGTCCATTGCAGCTCGAGAACAGGAAAGCCCTCTTACCTGAGGGCTTACTTTATCCTGACTTCTTGCAGCTTAGCTTGCCAGCACTGTGGGAAGTAAATTATTTGTAAAGGCAACTACCATATGGAACAAATAGAAGCAATAAAAGCAATATCTGAAAAGGGACTATAAAGCAAATCATTATTTTAAAAGATACTTAATATATAATATCTGGAAAATTTGTAGCTTTTATTTTTGTATGCTTTCATTTTGCATAGGGAATAAAACATTTCATATTATAACCGATCATAAATTAAAATTACTTCACTTTAGCTTTCTTTGTATCTGCCCCAGTGCCAGCAACAGTAGTGTAATTCAATATGTTAAATGATTTTTATTCTCTGAAGTCTGTTTTACAGACATCAAAAGAAATTCACGTATGTCCAACTTCCTAGAATGATTTCAGTACCTTACATAGACTGCTCAAATAAGGTTTTTTCTTTCTCAGTTATGTGCTGCTGCCACCACCTTAATAACGTTACACTGATGGAATCGTGAACAGTTGAAGAACGTTCAGGTTTGCCAAAGGTATTTATGATTGTTGTTGTTAATGATTATACCTCCTAAAACAAGACTTCAAGACTTACCATGCTCTCTGAGTTGAGGGAATTTGATGGGTCTTTTTTGGTGTCCCACAACATTTATCACCAGTGGTTTGTATTCCCCAGCTTGGAACCAGTTTTGTAGGTTGTAGAGTACGTAGTTGTTAGCACTTTGTACAAACTGGCGTATATTCTAAGGAAACCAATTAATAGCAAATTTCAATCGACAAGGCTGTAGCTTCCACTATAATTTGGGGAATTAGGTTGCCTTTCTTTTGCACAACGGGTGATTTCAGCTGATGCGTGTGACTGTTCAGTAGTCATAGTCTGTATTACAAAGGTGGTCAGCCTTCCCAAGTAGAAGCCATCTTACTTCCTTTTACCACCAATAGCTGTATTTTCTGGCAGTTCTTGGACCCAAGTTTGGGATTATGGAGTGGCTTAGTGTGAGCAAGCCTCACCTGTGCAGTGCTGGTATGTTAAAAAGCTCAGCTTTGCCTTCTCAGTAGTAGCATGGATAGCACTTGTGGCTTTTAAAGGCAGCTTTCTAAATTTGAAGGCTTACCAAGTGGACTAACTTCACAGTACTTGTAAGCATGTCAGTGTTCATTGTTGGGAGCTTTTCTATGAGAAGATACCTGGCTGCAGGTTATTCTCAAGCTTACCTTACTCAGAACATTATAATGTAGAGATACTGATTTTTACCTAGTTGTTGTGACTGTACTTAACTGCTTTAATATGGTTTCATTGCAGGTACCCCAGAATTGAATTCTTCTTAATACACTGACCATATGGGATCAAAGAAAAATAATCTACTGTTTTTCAAGTACTTGAGTTTGTTGTTTGTAACAACGTGATTTAGTGTGAAAACTGGAAGAAGAATCTTTCTGGACACTTCAAAGATAGCTGGTAGGCATAGCAAAATGCTTTGTTTGAGGCAGGTTTGCTTGTTTACACTGAGGCGTTGCCAAGCTCGGACTCTGTGTAGTGATCTGCTTTTGAACCAGATAAATAGCTGCACCCATGAAGATGAAGTGTTCAGCCTCATTGGAAGGAATAAGGCCAGACTTTCTGAAAAGCATTTGGGAATTGCATTCAACATGCTGTGGCAATTGCAAAAGGAGAGGCCATTTCTCTTAAGGACTACTGACTATGTAAAAAATCACTCCCAGTTTCTTACCCTTTGCGTTTTGGCAGAAAACAAGGTGAAACACATGGAAGATGAGGCCGTAGTGGACATCTTATATAGTATTCTGAGGTAAAGAGCATTAAATTGAGTTCCATGTATATATATTTTGTATTTGGTAATATAAAGGGAGGGAATTTTGACTACTTAGCCATCCTATAAGGAGATTGGGAGACTGCCCTGTCACAGTTTCTGTACTCTGTGTGACACAGATGGTGTCATGTCCTGTGCTTCAGTTTTTGAGATGCAGGCAGAACAGATCTGTTTTACACTCCCAGTAAATATGTTTTATGATTAAATGTTTATAATCTGTTTGAATGGAGGGAGTGATGGACAAGTAAAACATGATAAATAATGAAAGGACATATGTCTTATTTCTTTATAACTATGGGAGCAAACTTCAAACTATTATGTCTTTCTTTTGAAGGCTCAATGTTGAAGACCATGATTCTCTAGCACAAGCGCTTGTTACAGAAGCATGGAGAAGGTTAGAAAGGCAAGTACTGGAATGCTGTGCTTTTTGAAAGGTGTACGGTGCAAGCATGATTTGCTTCATGTGAGGTTACACAAGAGCTCTCAAAGAGTACATATGTTTAAAACATAATCTGGGTATTTTAAATGTCAGTTGTATTTTTGAAGGTTTTGGAAAATATGCATACAGACTTTGGTTTACAAATACGTGAGAGATTCAGATGCTGCAACAACAGGGACCAACATTTAAAGTTTTGAAATGTAATGTCTGTGGAGATTTATGTGTTTGAAGGAAATTGCAGGGTTTAATATTTAAAATTTTATCTCAGTGCTTGCTGTTCAGCTCATATATGGTTGTTAGAAACCTGCTCATCTCAATTTAGTAAAAACATCTTGTATTAAAGCAGCAGTATTTTCCCTTTGTGCATTTTGTTGTTGTTTTTGTTGGCTTGCTTTGATATCTTTTTTTTTGCATATTGTAGTTTTCATTCTGTAGTTCAGGGTAGAGGCAGAAGCTAGCGTCAGTCTTGTCACCAGCACCACAGAATTGCCTCTTTCGGTTTAACATGTGGGGAATCTTGACAAGTAAATTAATACAGTGTAGCTTGAACACAAAGTGATATTCAGGTAATAAATTGCTCACATTAATTTTATGTATTTCACATCATTGCTTGAGAACATAATCTTTATTAGGCTGGCCTGGCTAAGTGAAGAACAACTGATTTTTGTAGAGTTCCATATGTACACCTAGGTGTTTTGCTTAGGTATTTTGTTTCCTTGTTTTGTAATTTGAATATACACTTTCTTTTTATGTGATTGTTGAAGTAGATTTTTGTCTTTAGTTATTCACTAGAAATAAAAGGTAAATATTCTGTCTGTCTTTGATGTCTTGACAGGCTTAGTTTGCCAGCTCTGTCTAAATTCACACTGTGCTTATACAAACAGCGCAGGCATTTCAGTCCCATAATTGGCCAAGTAGCTCATATTGTGGACATGAAACTGGATTCTATACAGGATGTAAGGTAAGTGTCAGAATGAAGCTGAGGAGCAGGAGAAGTCTTATTGCACAATTACTGTGCTGCCTTTCCTGAACACTTTCCTTTTTTCTCAACTGGAGGTTGCTTTTCTTCAATTTGGAGTTTGTGGGAAAGAAGTGTTCTGTGTTGTTTGACAGGTAAATGCATTTTCCCAATGATTTTATGAAGCAATCTAAACAACTAAAACTACTGTTTAACTGTTTTGATTGGTTATAAAGATTTAATTAGTTTCCACTGTTCTACTTACAGTAGAACAATATAGCAGACATTTAGAATCAGCTTTATCCTGATTCTAAATTTAATGTGGACTTTTTGATAATTTAGAGGCTATTGACTCACCAGAAGGTGTTTTTCTTCCCTGACATTGATAGTTTTTCTACTTAACTATGGATTTAGTTAGCGACTGTGAATAGCAATAAGAAGTTTAAAAGAAATGTGGTGTTCGTTTATCTTCAGAGTATTTTTTTTCTGGTCACGTTGAATTAATGAATTCTCTTGCTAGCATGTCCAGCACATTACCCTAATATTAAAACTACTTAAAACACAGCCCTAGTCAAAGAAGTCCAAGCTTCCTTTTTCTTGCCTCAGTTCCCCCTGGGCCATTATAGTGAAGGCTTCTCTTTATTTTTTCTGCTCTATACAGTATTAGCAGTGCCAACAATTATTTTTGCAGATGTGAGGAGCTTGCATGTGAAACTCATTGAATGGGACTCCCATTTCTTTACAGAAGTGACTCTTCTTGTGGTCATAAGTTTTATTCCCTCAGGAAGGGATTCTTTCTTTAGGAGTGACAATGACTCTTCTCCTCATTCTGTCACTTGAGAATTGTTTGTGTTTCTTTGGTGTCTATTGAGCATTAAGGATCTTTTTGCAAATTTGAATCAGGCAAATCAGACTCATGCTTTAGGCAAGTGCTTTTATCACATACAGCTTTGTTAGAGATGGCTGAAAAATCCCAACTGTTTCAGAAGTTCACCAAAAGCAGAATTTTTACTGTAGAAGGATAAATGGTTTTTGCTCATCTGTTTTTTCTGCATTGGATTTAAAATTCCTTTTTGCCCAGAAGCCAGCAGCACCTTGACTACTTTGTGTAGTTTATTTAGGAAGTCTAAAATTTACTGCTTGTTATGTTCAATGTGTAAGTGTAAAATCTTCTGGATTTTTTAGGATCTTGTCAGTTTTGATGGTCAGCATATCTGATGTTATCTCACAGAGTTTTCGAGATCGATTACTACACAAGGCTGAACAGCTCTTGGAAGAAGAGAAGGAAGGCCACTTCAACTATGCCAAAAGATTGCTACAGTTTCTTCAAAATGTTAAACTGAAATATCATCCGTTGCTAGAAAAATGCAACAGGATTTTCCTGAAAAGTGCCTCCCATCTTGATATCCACAGTATTAGTAATATTTTTGGACTGTACGAGCAGCTGGGTTTTGACAATGCTGAATTCCGCTTGGTTGCTAACCAGCTGCTGTCTGAAACTATAGATGATTATTATGATCCTGAAACCTTTGCGAAATTATTTTTTGCTCTTGGGCCTATGGCAGAATCCAAGGTAAGAGAAAGGTAGGTTTATTAATGATTTTGTCTTATTTACGATACACATTTTCTTGCACAGAAATTAAAAATGTATTAATGTTTGGAGGAATTTCTGAACTCACCTGTGAGCTGAACCTTAGGTTTCCAGGTGTAACTTTTTAGCAATTGATCATTTAATTTTGGAAACATTGTCAAAGCAGTTTGTTTTGAGACAGTTGCATAGAAAGCTGGATCTAGCAATCAAGTGGTATGTGAATGCTGTTATGCAAGGCCATCTTGTAGCTCCGTCTCTTAGACTACAGCCTTCCTTTCACAGGGGATGGTAGTAAAAAGCTTTCTGTCTTTCCCCTGAGAAGTATGTGCAGTGGTATGTGTTGCTTTTTCCTTTTTAAGACTGGCAGTAGCTCAGCAGCCTGAGTCTTGTCCTATACCAGATTGCTGAAATCCTATTCTTCCTGAAAGGTCGTCAGCAGGGACCACTTTGGCATTTATTTAGCAGTTAGGATATTGTGTGGTAGATATTTTCCCTTGTGCCACAAAATCCTACTTGGGGTGGTGTTACTCATGGGTCTCTCAAGTCTTAGGCAGAATTTACTTTGTTTATTACAATGAGTCATATTTTCATAGATTCCTTCGTGAACATCTGCTTCTGTTCAGAGATTTGGATATACTGCAAGCCTATGTTGGTTTTGCCATAGCTGACTTAGTTCCAAAAGCTTTTCCTAGATTATTTATTTATTTAATTTGTGGTAAACACTAGCTTTTTAACTGCCTGAAGACCACTTCAGTTCATGTTTGATTCTCTTATCTGTAGCTTCCTGATTGATTATGAATTGTGTAGAGTCTTTAAATATCATCCGTACTTCTTGTCTACTTTTAGAATTGTTGGACTCACTGGTTTCTAGCATCTAAAACAATATGCACTGATCCAACACACACCCCTTTACCTGTGCTATACAGGTCTGATGTTTAGAAGAAAAGTCTAGAGAACAAAAGTATCTGGAATTTGTTTTCCTGTATTTCCTGAAGCAGTCTTTTGGTTCTTTCCCTCATAAACAAAGAAAATTGCTGCAATCTTTGCTGGAGATTTTCATCTGTTTTTCATTGGAAAATATGTCTTTTCCCCTTTAGGTTGCTAGTAACTGCAGCACACATGGCTGAAGAATTTAGCAGTCACCAGGTATTGGTGATACTGAAGACAATGCAGAAAATGAAATGCAGAAATTCTCATCTACTTGAAAAGTAATTTTTTTGATACTACTAAGAAGGTGTATTCTCTAGGTAAACTACTTCCATTTAGTGTGGAAAACTGTAATATCCAGTAAGTGAGGAGTGGAGGGTGTGTCACTTGCACACACAAATGCATCTACACTACAAATAATTAGCTTATACAGGTTTTAGAATATTGCAGCTTGACCCAGAAGTAATTGAAGAAATTTAGGAATTTCATACAAAAGCCTTTCAACCCTACCAAGTTCATGTCATATTATATCTGGCTTATTTGCAAGTATGTGATCCTACTGCAGTAAACTTAGCCCCTACCAGTTACTGTAAACTCAGGAGAAAAAAGAGAACGTGTCCACATTTTCTGCAGTTGTAAACTGAACACTTTTTTTTTTAGGGGTAGAGGTAATACCTACCATACAATGAAGGGGAAAGCAGCTGATGTTTTGGGCACAGAAGATGTAGCATTAGATACATCAGAGATGCAGCAGAGTTATGTACAGGTAGTGAGCAATAACTGGATTGAAGGTAGTTGTATGAACCAGATAGATCCTTGGAAGAAAAAGGACATACTTGTGTGCTATGGATCAAAGGAATACTAAAGGTGAATTCATGCCTTTTCTCCTGGAAACTCACTGGCCGAAGAAGGTCTTAAGGTATTATCTTTCCCTACAAATCTATCCCCCTCTTTGCAGCCTTAGACCAACAGTGAGTCCAGTCGTCCTGAAGCTGGTGTTGCTGTTGTAGTTTATTCCATTCTTGATCCACTCTGAATTTAACTGATTGTGAAATCTGAAACAGAAGTTATTAGTGTGAAGTAGCTGATTTGCTGTGATGAGGGTTCTAATTTTGCAGTTCACTAAATGTGGAGAGGCTGCTGTATCTTTGGGGAACAGTGTCAAAACTGGTGTGGAGAGGAGTGCAGGTGTGTGAAACCCTCCATATACACATACTGTGCACCACAGGACACCCTTTCTTCATGTGGCATGTTGGGGTTTGCAGTATCTTTTGCATTAACCGAATATCACGTCATCTTTTTCTCTTTGTGTTCAGAATGGCTTCTGTTCTGCACAAACACTTGGATAGCTACCATGTATTACAGCTGGTGAAGTTAACCCAGTACTTGACGGGGTTGCGGTGCCGCAATTTGGAGCTGTTTGCCAAACTGAAAGTGTTACTGTTAAGGTAAGTGTGTATTCTTGGAACTGTAGCTATTTAAGTAGTAAACAATTCTCTACTGAAGATTTCAAATTACAAGCTAAGATGTTCAAGTGTTTTGTTTCCATAAAATATGAAGAAGTAACAAACTGTTACAATATTTGATTCTTTTAAACCTAAATCAGAGGATAGGAAGTGGATGTTGTCTTGTTTATAGACCCAGCCTCTATAGGAATGTAGTGCCTTGGCTGTGCTATTTTTTTGCTGATGATTCCTTCATGTTCCTCAGGCACTTGAGAACCTGGTGCTCCCTAGGACAGAAATCAGAGAAATGAACCAGGCCCAGAAGGCCGGACACCCTTAACAAATGTGGACCTTCTGGCCTTAATAACGACTTCTGTGTTTATCTGTAATATTTAAAGCCTCTCTTGCTGACTGAGCTGCTCCTTGACTTCTCCCCTTTTTTCAGTTTTGAATAAATTAGAAGGAAGAAGTTAATCTTAATTAAAAAAACATGGTAGTCCCAAGAGGTAGGGATTTCTACCACATTATTAATATTCTACTTATTTTATATTTGTTACGCAGCTTTTGACTTTTAAATTTCATGCATGTAATTTATTTGGGTTTTTAAACACTTGCACTTTGTCATTATTGATGAACGGTTTTTATTTCCATGTTTCTTCCAGTTATTTAAAATCTAGTGTGATACCTGCTGATACTGCAGCCATAATTCGTGTTCTGGCCATGCTACCTTCTTTTCAAGTGGAGGAGATGATTATAAACAAAGCAGCAGCAGTTCTGCCTCAATGCAGTCTTCATCATTTGAATTGCATCGCTACAGCTCTTGTCAAATGGAATCATCATGACCAGTTGCACTGGCAAAACAGTTCTGAGCTATGTGCAAAGCTTCTGCAAAAACTAAATGACTGTGGATTTGAGAGGCTTCAGAAAACCAACAGCTTAAATCGTCTGTTGGAAGAACTTACACATGTGAATGGAGAGTGGTTTGAAGAAGTCCTGAATGAGGAAACCATGGCCATGTGTCAACACTTGATAGACCAAATAACATGGGCAAATGTATTACCACTGTCTTTTTTCCTCAAAAAAACAAACTGCCGTTGTCCTGCCTTATTTGACAGAATAGCTTCTGTGACTGTTGAAAATATAGACAAGGTATTAGAGCTTTTCTGTCTACTGTGTGAGTTATTGGGTAAAAAAGGAGAGGTATGTGAGTTTATGTTTTTCAGAGCATAATCCGCTGTGTTTCTAAGAGTTTTATTCAATGTATCTGATTTGGAGCTCATCTTTTTTTATGTTCACTCAAAGCTGTTTTGCTTCTGTTTATATTATTTTGCACTTACTTCTCATTAGTTTTTATTTCTTACTGTTCAGTCAGTATTAGGTCAGCCATAATCCATTGCATTCAACTTTACATTTGACCATCTTAATTTTTTTTTTTAAACTTCTCTATAAATAGCCACATCACCTGGTGTATATTTTAACATTACTCATTGTTGTGGGGGTTTCCCCAGTAGCCCGTCTTTTTGGTCAAAATTACTCTTTTTCCTTAATGTCTTTTTTTCCTCCTCATTCTCAGTCTGGAGTTCATATAAATCTTTGATTTTATTCTATTGCAGTTTAGTTTCTTTAAAAGCATTTAATGCAAAATCTTTTTGAAAGGTTCTTTAAGTATATAGAAACACTTGGATCACCTACATGAAATACATCTTAAGTTTTAGCTGTTGCTGCAAATTCAATTATTTCTGCATTTTATTTTTTTATGGTTTCCTCCAGGAATAATTGACAAAAAAATTAGAAAACCGCTCATCTAGTTTTAAATCTCCCAATTCTGAATGAAGTATAAAACTCTTCTTTGTTGTAAAGCAATATTATGATATTTTGCAGTGACTTGATTTTGGATGTCTTTTTTTCCAGATCCACCCCTCCGAACTCTATTTTATTCTCCTCCTTTTCTCTACTTTGAATTACGACAATGAAGAGTTCTTTAAGAGTTGTATCCAACATCTTACTTCTAACTTGAGTAAGTGCATTAGACAAAGATATTCTGACACCAGATAAATGTTACTGAAAGTTATTTTTACAGAATGAAAATAGGAATAGAATGGCACTTCAGTTAAGCAAAGAAAAAGTATGTATGTTACTACTAATAATCTGCCTACTGGGTTAAACCATTACAAAGATTCAATGCTGGGTTTCATTTCACCCTTTAAATATTACTCTTAATAAGGGACTAGCAAAGAATTTTTAGTGTAGTAAAAAGCAAGTGGAAATTCTAGTTAATTCACTGTGCTGCTCTTGGATAGAATTGTTGCGGTGTTCCCCAAGGAATCGTCCTTTGTGAACAGGATACGTTTTGTGATTCATCACAAATAAATGGTTAAAGTTGTAGAGGAAATGGATAGAAACTTGTGTGGTACATTGAGAGAGAAAATTAGACAATTTGGGAGGCCAGGAGAAGGGCACTGCAAATCCTTTCAACTTTATGTCATGTGTTAATATAGATTTCTGTCTGTTTTTTAAAGGTTGTTTTGAAGTTTATCACTTGGTGCTGCTTGGTCATGTTTTGGCAGTGGCTGGGTATTTTCCTCCAGTTCTGATAACGACGATATTTAATGTTTCTTTCCTAAGCAAACTGGATGCTCAACTTAAAGGTAGATATCTTGCTCTCTGAAGAATTTGATTGTGTAGCATTTGGCCTAAAATGCAGTTGTGGACCTGCATATGACTTGAGAAGTAGAATTATTCTTTAAATTATTCCATTTTCTAGAAAGACCCCCTCTATATAATCTAGTCATGATTTGAGCGCTAAAAGGGAAGTAATGAACAAAAATCTGTGCTTTGTTTTGAAAGTACAGACTTGTATTGCAGGTGAGAAAAGGTCATATAAAGCAAATTTTATAGCCAACTTACTGTACTCAGTATATAATAATTCTTCAGTTTTAAATGAAATTACCTGACTCCAGTGTTTATTATGAGAAATAGCCACAAAGCTCAAGAAATCATGTGGGATTCTTGCCTGCAAGAAATGTGTCCTACCAGACTCTTCTCTCTAAATAAGAGACTGAGTGTTTATTTTGTCTCTCTCTACCTCTATGTTGTTCCCTATCAGTGTATTGTTGCCATTTTGCCTTCAAGCACTTCATTAAAAGTTGAATGAGAGAAGCAATTTCTGTCTTATGTCTTGCTGTCATGCTTAACATTGAGCAGAACTGTTTCTTTTCATTTTTTCCTCAGGGATTTTGAGCACCTTTCTAAAATTTTGCAGCATGGATTTTATAAATGCCATAGTATACAAACACTTGCACTTTTAGTAAAGAATTCAGAGGTAGCCATTTAGGTCAATATACTGGATTTTTCACATTGCAGTTTACACCTTTCTACATCTGTTTTTTTTTTTTTAATCAGTCCTGCCTGACACTGTAAAGCAGAGTGTCTGCTCTTGCCTCATGAAATTGAACAGAGCAATCTGTCTGGAATGCCCGGAGTTTCACATCCCTTGGTTTCATGAGCAGTACTGTCAACGTGTCTCTCATAACAGTAAGTAACCTAAGAGAGGAAAACCTGCCCTTGTTTCTAATAATAGTCTATTCTCAGCAGTCTGCTAGATGTTTCTTCTAAAACTGTCAGGTTGACACTACCACAACCATAGAAGATCAGGAAGGGGCCACCCCCTCTTTGCTGAGCATGTCTTGGAAAGTGCAACCGCTTAGTAGTGCAACAGAGAGCAAAGCAGTTTTCCTTGTGATAATTAATGTAATAGGGATGGGATTTTTCTTTTTAAGAAATAACATTTAAATAAACAGAAACAGTGCATATGGTATGAAGGATGGAAAGGCAGGAGGAAGAATTAGAGTTGTCTGCTGGAGGAGATGGGTCACTTTGCTCCCTACTTCACCTACAAGGCTGAGCTTGACTTAAATTTTTCAATGTGAACATTTTTCCTTCTTGCTTTTGAACTTGCTCCTATCTTCTTCCTCTGAAGAATCAAGATCCATCGGGGTGAGAGACAGAGAAGTAGGCTAGCGATCAGTGTAGCAGCTGAGATCTTTCAGAAAAGTGATGAATTCAGAAAATCCAGCTAATGCAAAGAGTATCTATCCTCCACTAATTCACATGGGGAGATCTGCTTTGCTGTCCACAGAACTCACCTACTTTGTCTCTCAGAGACTGAAGATGTTTTGGAGCAAAGTGTTAATCTGCAACAGACAGAGAAGTGACGTATAGTGTGGTGTGCCTGTAATAAAGACAAGATGAGTAAATCTCAAGTGTCCAAACACAATTAAAAGCAAACAATCCAACAAGTGAAACCTGTAACTAAAGGTTTTGTAGCACGTGAATCAGAAAAATCCTCAGATGGAAAGTCTGGATTTGAAATTTATGCTTAATAGCACACACCTGCTACTTTCCATCTAAAATATGATCACTTGGTCTCTGAATTATGGAATAACACCAGGGATCCGTGGAAAAGATTAATTCAATAGCCTGGCTGTCAAAAATGCAACGTCTCAAAGTGCTCTGTTCAGAGTTTTGGCTGTGGAAGTTTTGATGTATGAATTCTTTATTTTGCCTTTGTAGGTATGAGCCGAATAAATCCACTGCGACAGCATGTTCACAGAATGCTGACAGAGATCTTAGGAGGGAGTCAGTACTCCAGGGTATCTGTTCTCACGCCATACTACTATGAAATAGGTGAGAAGTTAATACTCTAAGGATTGTTATTACAAGATTAGGAAGCCCGTTTTCATGTGACCACAAGATATTGCAAAGAAGAAATTGTTGTGTAAAATACAGTTTCTGAAAAGTTCTGCATTATATAAAATAATGTTGGATATCTCTAATTTTGTCCATCACTTAATTTTTCTAGAAGTAAACACTGTACAGATCAAATTCTTTCACTTTTGTCAGTAAACAGGTTTGCTGTGTTTTCTGACAGATTTTGAGTGTGTCCTGGATGAAAATAAAAAGCCTCTTTCCTATATGGCTCAGAATATACCTTTGGATGATGTAGGGGGAATACACTTGAGACGTGACATCAAGGATGAAGGGAAAAAGGCTCTGCCACCAGGAGCTCAGAGGTTAGTACACTGAATTCTTGCACATTAGCTCTCCCAAGCTTCCAAGTTAACATCCAGTTTAGGCCACGTTTTTGATGCTTATGTCCTAAATGTTTGTTGCAACCTCTATGCTATTTATCTTTCAGTTCATTTTTCCTTAGTCTAATGAGGTTTAGCCTTCCAGGGTGTGGTGGGTTGGCTGCAGCTGCTCCCACACAGTTGCACGCTCGTTCCCTTGAAGTGTGATGGGGGCCAGAATCGTGAGGGTAAAAGCAAGGAAGAAAACTCCTGGGTTGCAATTAAGACAGTTTAATAAGGGAAGAGAAGAAAGGAAAAATATAAAAGGGGAAAACGAAACAACTGATGCACATGGAATCATTCCCCACAGCAGACCAGTGCCAGAGCAATGGCTACTTGGAAAAAACTCCCCTCTGTTTTGTTGCTGAGCATGATGTTGTATGGTGTGGAACATCGCCTTAGCCAGTCGAGGTGCCCTCCCAGGGAAGGTGTCTCTTCCTGATCTCTTGTCCCTGCAGCCTAGACCTCTTGTCCATGTCTGCATTGTAGGTGCAGAGTGAGAAACAGAAAGTCCTGATGCTGTGCAAGCAATAACTCTTCAGTGATAGCCAAAATACTGGTGTGTCATTAACACTGTTCTGGTCACAAGTTCAAAACACAGCACCAGACAAACTGCCGTGAAGAAAAGTACCTTCATCCCAGCCAGACCCAGTACATGTTCTTGAAATGTGTTTCATGAGATTAGAATACACTTTCCCTTCCACCTCCTCAAATGTTAGCCTTGAAAATGCTAGTTAGCTGTTTTTAGCATTTGAGCAAAGACAGATGCAGGGAAAAAAATACTTTTTCTAAATCATGTAAAATTCAAGTATCTCTAGATAAATAAGAGGAAAATGTTTTGTCTGGTTTCAGGGAGTTGTTTAATTTTCTTTTTATGTGAATTGTCAGGTTTATCTAGTCTTGCTGCAGCTATCAGTACTGAACTAGAAATATCACTTTTTGCTATTTGGGTAGGACCTGAAAGTAAAAGCGCATCTTTGCTGTTTGCAGAATTGCTTTGGAATTTCTTGATTCGAGAGCTTTTAGCAAAGATTATTCACGTCATCTGAAAGGAGAAGTTGCAGTGAAAAAACGGCACCTGGAAATGCTGGGATACCGGGTAGTTCAGGTGAGCAGTCAGCAATCCTTTGTCCTTTCTGAGTTGTATCCATAGTGCAAAATGATCCATTTTCCATGCAACACGTTCAGAGATAATTTTTATAATTAAAAGCATTTACTGGGTGAGAGCAATTTTTGTATTTAGGGAGAAAATTCCAAGCTGTTCTCAAAATTATTTAAGGACTTCATAGAAATCGCACCTTCTCTGAAAGAGGCTGAAGCAAAACTGAAGTCAAAAGGTCTCAGTCTTATGTTACTGAGTAAAGGAGAACAAGTGAAATCAGAGTTTCAGTTCAATTCGCTAAAGATTTCTACAGTAGAAGATGACTGGACATACCCTTGAGTGGTTTTGAGTGCCAAGTTTTGGCAGCTGCCAGGTGGGATAGGGATGCTGTTTGTCTCCTGCAGTGATGGCGTATGACAGGGAACAATAGTGGCCAGTGATAATTCACAGCCATTGGCAATGAAGCATTTTGGTAATGGAGGCTCATGAATTCAGAGGCTCTTGTATATTTAATTACTCACCCTAATTTTAGCTAGAATCCTTCTTTTAGCTTAAATTTGGTTGGTTTTCTTTTTTATTTTAAACAGAATAATCATCTTTTCTCATGTTATACTATGGCTACACTATTCCAGTCTAATAGATTAACATTACAAACTACAGTGGCCTGGGATTTTCCTCTCAATTTGGGTTTTCAAAGGTGGGAGATGGTGTAAAGGAGTTATCACAGCCTATATTGTGTGGGCGTCTGTTTTACATTTCTGCAAGTGACTATACTTACATAAAGAAGAATCTTACACTGAGAAATGGATCTTGTCAGTATTAGAGAGCAGCCAATGAATTCAAGTGGAGACAAACTTTTCCCAGGCAGAACTAACTCCATTGCCCCCTTCGAATCGTGGTCGTCCAAAACTCCCGTAAGGTGCATCGCGTCAGGGTCACCAAATAGAGACAATGAGGCTGCACACACACCATGATTCAGTTTTCGGGATTCTCCCCAGAGCTCCCTCTGAGTTTCCCCATTGTTAGGGTTCTTTGGTAAACAGCACCTGGAGTTGTCATTCAGTTAACCAGAATTCCCAGGAGTTTTTGCAAACTCAGCGTTTGATTTACACACTCCTTCTCAGCACCAAGGCTGAAACACTCTCTTTTGATTCCAATTAATGGAATGCAGATGCTGCTGGCTTAACTCATTCCCACATTAGAGCAAGCCTAGCTTTTGGAGGGACACAGGTGGTCAAATATCTTCAAGTGGAAAACAAGTGATATCAGAGAGCCTTTGCTGTGAATGGAATGTGGCTTATACCAGTGTTAACACTCAGTTTGTATGATTCTGTTCTACAGATTCCTCACTTTGAATGGAATTCTATGGTTCTGTCAACAAAAGGTGAACAGCTAGAATACCTGAGACAACAGCTGTATGGAATACAGTGATGTCAGATCTGCAGTCTATAGTATTTCCATAAAAACACTTTATGTACCACCACACGTTTTGTAATCCTGGAATATATCGTTTCAAAAATCTCATTATCTGTGAGTCAGCTGGACCAAGGCTTGCCATGGGCATCAAGTGTAAAGGGATTGCAAAAGGCAGGTCACAGTGGGGCATGAAGATAAGGATGCTTAAAATTTCCCATTATCTGGAAGCTATTATTTAATCACATAAAGCTCTGGCAGTGTTGCTGTAAAATTACAATATCATCTCCTAAATTAATAGTACAGAAGCTTAGCCAGACATAAAACTCTCAAAAGAAAAAGTTGGAAATACTCTTGACTGTGAGAGAAGTGTCAGCAATCTATTGGAAACTATGTCTGTCCTCCAGCATGTGACAGAATGAGCAGCTGGGAATCAAACAGTATCTGTACTCTGAAACCAAGAAACTGAAATGCAAATTTACTAAGCATAGGGCTGCTTTTAGAGCTGTTCCATTTCCATCTCCCGGAACAGAGGTACTGTGGGGGACTGTGCTGGGGGAGGGTGTTGCGTGGGGAGGAACCTCCAGCTGCTTCTCCTATCCTGTGATGTGGCGCATACAAAAGTATGGCTGAGCCTTCTGGAACACCTTCACATACCTAAAACCCTGCCAGGGTTTGTGCAGGAGGCACAAGACACTGAGATGTAGAAGGAAAAAAATGGAATAGGCAGCAGGATGTTCATTGTAGAGCAAATAGTAGGGTGGTCGTACTTAACAGATGAGCCCATTTTCAGAGGCAGCCACGTTGTGCCCACGGCTGCCATCATCTCATGACTGCTTGCTCTGCCTGTCCTTCACATACACAATGTGGCTGTGTTTTCTTGCTTATTTAGTGAAGCAGTAGACGTTCTTTTACCACTTCCTTTGAAACCTGGCAGAGGTAAGCAACTGCATTTCTGAATTGGCCATTATGCATCTGCTGTCACTTTTTTTGGTTTTACTTTTCAGTAGCAGAAGAAAATATTTTTGTTTACTGAATACAAATCAGGACAGGAATGGAAATTCAGGAAAAACCAACAGAACTGATCAGATACTTTCCTCCTGAGGCAGCCCTCGCATTTGTAGAATGACTGAAAAAACTAGTAGATGGTTGTCTGGGCACTTATGGTATTAAATGGACAAGGGCTCAGAGATGTAGAAGAAGAGGCCTTTGAGCACAAAGACAGACTCTATGCACGTTCTACTTTGTATAAAATGGAGAAGACAATCATAAATACAGGTTAGTATCTCAGAAGATGGGCTACATGTCAAAGGGCTGTTGCATGACCCTGTTTCTGTACAGATGGCCTTCACGTAGCAACCTTGAAGTCTAAGAGAGGTGGCAGTGCTTAAATGTTCAGTCATGAGTGCTCACGTGTTTGAGCTGCACCCTGCTTTTCAGAGTTCTAGCAGTCCCTGTGCCAAGCCAGCTATCCTCAGATTATGTATGGGTAAAGTTATGAGTATGCACAAGGGGAAGAGGATTAAAACTTGCTATGAGTGGATTCATTAAGGGCATTGAAGAAAAGCAAACTATAAGGGTATTTCAATAAAATGTCTTGTCTTTGATCCTTTGCCATCTTTCTTTCTAAATCAAATCAGCAAATATTAGAGAAGTGATCTAACTGGAGCCAATAAAAAGGTGCTAAGAACAGCTGAAGATTTGGGTACTAAAGGGTAAAACAGAAAAGATGTTCCACAGAAGAAGTACTGGTGGGCAGTAACATATTGGAATCAGCTACGATGGCTGTGCTTTTGCCATGTTTTCTTCTGTCTCCTAGGAAGGCAATGCGAGGGGTCATTTGACAGTTGGAATTGCCATTCAGGCTGGTGTAGTGGGCTTCTTTTCCAGTTTTCCTGCTACATCAGTTGTAATTAGATTTAGATTTATGAAATTCTTTAGATTATGACACTCCCTTTATTCAGTTGAGAAATCCTTTGAGGAGATGCTCTACTTGAAGAAAACTGAGTGCTCTGTTTTGGGCAAGGGCTGTGCTAAGAAATCTGTGTCCTGTCATTATGGTAGTGATGATGAGCTGATCATTAAAAAAGACACCATCAAGTGATACTTCTTATAATTTTTAAAACAAAGTTTAATTGTTAAAAGTTTTCAATGTCAAAATGCATCAACTCTTTATTAGATGAAAAAGTCCTCTCTGTCATAGGTAGGTATTTACTGATTATCAACTCGTCTTGGACTTTTTTATGAATGCTTGTTATTGGCCTCAGATCTCTGAGAAAAACTTCCATAAAATACTTGCTTTGGAAATAAATATAAAAGCATAAAAAAGTGGAAAATCTTGTTACCAGAAGCCTAAACATAGTAGGTGAAACATTAGAGCTATTAACCTTGTGAACTTCTCTCTCTTCCCTCATGTCTGGCTACTAGTACAGCTTTGGCTGAGACTGGCATTTGTTAGGCCACATAGTATTAAGCCACTTTTGTTTTTAACATGCATTTCAATTCCAGGCTAAATTATTTTTTTGAGGGCTGTGATGAAAATATTTCCAAGATATCACTGAAGAATGCAGGATTTACATATGCTGCTGAAAGGGGAAATCTGGCTATACAAACAACCAGTTAGAATAAAACTAGCTACCTATAAGTTGTATTTAACAACAGTTAATTCATGGGCATTGTTTGGAGGGTAAGCCACCAATATCCTGGATTGTAGAAGTGCAAGGAAGTCTAACTGGTTTTATTTGCCATTTCACAGTGTGAAAAATGGAGTCCTTGCTGAAATCTTAATTTATTCTAATCAACGTTAATTAGAGCTCTTCAGGATTTTAAACGCTGGCAAAAATTCAGTGGTTGCTGGTTAACTAGTAAATATCTTAAGATGTGGACAGACAAATGAACTGTTTAACAGTTCCCAGTATAATTAGCACGCTGCTATAGAACTCTGTACAATCTGGGGACATTTTCATGCAACAAAACCAGAAGAGCCTATTGAAACTCCCTCACCATATCATGTCTTCCAGCATGTTGTTTACAGTTTTGATAACTTGAAGAGGTTCAAGCGTGTAGCCAGGCAGGAGGCTCCGGTAGCGTATCGGATCTCTTTCAGGATGCCAGTCCATTCCTTCTTTTCGTCATCATACCTGCAGTTAAAAAAATTAAGTTAGAAAATAGCTCCTTAGTTCCATGCTTCAGCACACATCCATGAAAAGGAGGACAGTGCACCTGTTGCAAAGGCTCGTAGCAGCCATCTGCTAAAGGGTGGCACAGAAGGCTGCTTTGTCCTCTAGAGCAGAACAGAAAGATGTTCCTGTGCACGAGTTGTCTTTTTCCTGGTCCCTAAAGCTTGTTGCTGGCTCTGTCATGCTTTAATTACTTCTATAGAGTTTCCTCTTTGTCTTAAGTATCCCTTCTCAGTTTCTTCAGATTCTTGCATATAAAGCTGTTTTTTTTGGGAATCCTTCCTACTGCCAGTTAAAACTTCTGAATTTACATTAGCAACTGAAGAGTCTCAGCAGAGATATGATGTTTTATCAGTGATACTGTGATTAGGTTGCAAAAATCTAGGAGATAGGGAATTTGGATTCTCTTGGAACAGTTACTCATTTGACTATTAACACATCAGTATGTACAGGCCACTGTACATGCTTTTCTGCATAAGAATATCATGAGAATGTTTTTATTGGAAAGGCTAAAACCTGCCAAATGATATGGCAACTTACTCTTTTAAAGAAACTGAAGATCATGACTCATTTTGGTCAAATGATTAGTAGGTGGAAGTAGTCATCTGATCCAAGTCTCATGTTTGTTACTTTCTAGCAAACATTTTTATCTGTCACCAAGAGCTTTACAACCTGTGCTAGGGATCATTTTCAGAGTTAAACGGAAAAATAATGTTAACTTCCAGTGTCTACAAACTCAGTTTCCACCAGGAAAGTGTGACTAAAATTAAACTTACTTCCATATGTCAGTGACTTCACTAGGTGCAAATTCTTTAGATTCAAGCTGAATCATTGCAAAGCCTCCAATAGCATACAAAGCTCCACTTAAGGTGACTAAACTGATGGAACTTCTCTCTTGGGGAAATTCAGGCATAACCTCCCACCTAAAGATGAAAAGAAAAACTCAAGTTTAAACATGTGAGAAGTATTGTAAACTGAATGCACTGAGATATTCCTCTGAGTGACACAAATTCAGGAACCAAGGCCACTTGAGTGAATGGTCTAGTAAAAAGAAAAATTTCTGAGATTTATCAGCAGTAAGTTTCAGTGTCTCCATCCCCACAGGGACTTCTGCAGGTCTTAAATGATGCAATTACACTGTGATGACATCTCTTCCCAGAGACCACTTCTCACAGGTTCCCTGGTGCCATCATCAGTAATATACTTCATACAGATGTATTGTTCCCCAGTTATTCTCATTTTTCCCTATAGTTTCCAAAATGTATATTCATTTCAAGTGGCATTGGCATAGTAATTTGAGCCAAAAAGTAATCACTGGAGCTCATTAGTATAATTTCAATGTTTCTGCTAATTCTCACCTATGAACATATGAAACACACACACATCCCACTTCTGGATAATCTCAACATTAAAATTAATAGGCCAGTTTTTCTTTCTTGCTTGTGTGACTTGACTGTAACAAAATAGAATAAACCAAGACAAGGAGGTGACAGGAAGGAAAAGTAATGAAAGTAACAAAAAAAAGAAAATTAAGATTAGGAAGACACATATGCAGAGGGTATAAACTCCTAGAAAATAAAAAACATTTGATGGATGCTGACTGCAAAAGATTCTGGCTGTGTAGGAGAGTATTGGAAAGTATATAGACCAAATAAGTGAGCTAATTTCAGGTATGACTTACTCTCTTTTGTCATCACTCTTTCTATATAGTATTTCAGAGCATGCACATATGTTTGAAGTCTTCCTGGAGTTTTCATATTAAATAAGCAGAATTATCTGTCTGTCACTAATCAGTGGTAAATGCATTTGCTGTGACAAGGTAAATGAACAGCATGACATCACAAGGCCATGTACCTGAAGGACATTGAGCTGGTCCTCTTCAAGCACCCGA